AAGAAGACATACGAATAACAAAAAGGCATATGCAAAGGTGTTCAAAATCATGGATCATCAGATAAATGCAAATCAGAACTGTAATGAGATATCATCCCAGTTAAAATGGCTTATATCCAAAGACAGGCAATAACAAATGTTTGTGAGGATGTGGAGAAAACAGAACCCTTGTACACTTTGTTGAGAATGTAAATTAGTACAAGTACTATGGAGAAAAGTTTTGAGGTTCCTCAAAAAACTAAAAATTGAGCAATCATGATCCAGCAATCCCTTGGCTGGATATAAACCTTAAAAATAGGACATTGGTATATCAAAGAGATACCTGCACTCCTATGTTGCAACACTGTTTACAATAGATAAGATTTGGAAGCAACCTAAGTGTCCATTAACACAGCGGTCCCCAACCCCTGGGTATGGACTGGTACCAGTCTACTTCCTGTTAGGAACCGGCTGCACAGCAGGAGGTGATCAGCGGGTGAACAAGCATTAAGGCCAGAGCTCTGCCTCCTGTCAGATCAGGGGTGTCATCAGATTCTCACAGGAGCTCAAACCCTGTTGTGAACTGCATATGTGAGGAATCTAGGCTACACACTCCTTATGAGAATCTAACTAATGCCTGATGACTGAGGTAGAATAGTTTCATCCACAAACTATACCCCATCACCATCCCATCTGTGGAAAAACCGTCCTCCCCAAAACCACTCCCTGATGCCAAAAGTGTTGGGGACTGCTGTATTAACAGATGAATTGATAAAGAAAATGTGGTATATATTTTTTATGGCATTCACCCATAAAAAAGAATGAGATCCTGTCATTTGCGACAACATGGACAGAACTGGAGATCACTATGTTAAGAGAAATAAGACAGGTGCAGAAAGACAAACATTGCATGTTCTCACTTATTTGTGGAATGTAAAATTCAAAACAATTGAATTGATGAACACAGACAGTAAAATGATGGTTACCAGAGGCTGGGAAGGGTAATGGGGTGCTGGGGAGAAGGTAGGGATGCTTCATGGGTACAAAAACAATAGAGGGCTGGAGGGCAGGGGGTATAGTTAAGGGGTACAAAAAATAGGAAGAATGAAGAAGACCTACTATTCGACAGAACAATAAGGTGACTATAGTCAATAGTAACTTAACTGTACATTTTAAAATAACTTGAAATAAAGAGTGTAATTAGATTGCTTATAACACAAAGGATAAATGCTTGAGCAGATGGTTACCCCATTCTCCATGAAGTGATTATTTCACATTGCATGCCTGTATCAAGACATGTCATGTACCCCATAAATATGTAGACCTACCATATACCCACAAAATTAAAATTTGAATTTTTTTTTTAATTAAAAACTTTAAAAAATGGCCAGGCATGGTAGCTCACACCTGTAACCCCAGCACTTTGAGAGGCTGAGGCAAACGGATCACGAGGTTAGGAATTCAAGACAAGCCTGGCCAATACAGTGAAATTCCATCTCTACCAAAAATACAAAAACAAATAGCTGGGTGTGGTGGTGGGCGCCTGTAGTCCCAGCTACTCGGGAGGCTGAGGCAGGAGAATCGCTTGAACCCAGGACGCAGAGGTTGCAGTGAGCCAAGATCACATCACTGCACTCCAGCCTGGGCAACACAGCGAGACTCTGTCTAAAAAAATAGAAAAAAAATCAGATAGTTGCACAACACTGTACATAGTTAAGTGTCTGTTGTGGGTTTCACTTTGTTAAAAAGTCATTCTCTAGAATTGGAGTTATGGTTAGAAGCATTATATAAATGCCAACAAATATATTAAGTAAATTACAGAATGAACTAATTACATATGGGCATGAAAATACGTTGAAAAATATATCTAAAATCATTGTCATAAAATTAAAATAAAACATACACAATTTTATATTAAATACATGACAGTTTACAGAGACATACAAATTGTAATGTGAATGAAAACATCTCATACTTTGAGTGCATATTAGAGTTACCTGGGAAACATTTAAAAAGAACAATTACCCAAGAATCACCCTAGAACCACAACCCAGATAATGATTCAATTGTTTTAGAATTTGGCCCAGACATTCATATTTTTAAAAGCTTTCCAGCTGGTTCTAATATGCAGCTAGTGTTTAAAAAAAAAATTATCTAACCAAAGTCAGGCTCCACTCCCTCAAATACCTCACATTTTCACAGTCAATGATGTATTTCTGTGGGTGCTATGTAGGCAAACTCCATTTAGAGACGGTCGATTAAAAATTTAAAACACAAGTTCCAATCTAGAGATAATGAAGGATTTCTATTAAATTCTACTTTAAAAGGAAATTATATTTAAAAGTCAAATATCATTTACAAAGTAGGAGAAAGAAGTGGCAGAATAGAGAGGAAGATGGAGGAAAGCAGGGTTTAGTAAACAAGAATGTGATGATTATGGCTAGCATTTATAATGCTCTTTTTTATGTGCTTCAATTCCTAAGGCCGATATTACATATAATCTCATTTGATCTTTACAACAACTCAGTGAATTATCATCATCTGCATTTTACATATGGGAAAAATAAGACAGTGAGAGGTTAATGAAACAAGGTCATGCATTTGAACAGTGACAGAGTTGGGATTTCAGCCCAGAATTGGTTCCAAACCCATACTCTCCTAAATACTATTCCATACTATCACCCTGTGCAATAAAAATTTTACCTGATGTAAGTTAAACACATTTAACTTTTAATTATTATTTCTAAAGTCAAAACAATAAACTACTACTTATTAAAAAACTATCAGCAATGATTATTTTTGAATAGTGAGATAGTAGTTTTTTCTTTTATCTGTATTTGATAAATTACAATAAGAAACATGCCTTCATCTTGAAATAAGAAAAAGGAATATTTTTGAAGCAAGTATATTACAGAATTTTTACAGTTCACAGTTTCTAATATATATTACTTTAGAAAACATATCAAAACTGAATAAAAACTTTTCTGTAGTAATATATATTCTCCACAACAGGCGCTGCTTTCTTAATTATCTTTTCCTTAGTAAAAATACACTAAAATTTGCTTAAAAGAAACTTACCTGTACACTGTCCTCCATTGGTTGGATCTCCATAATAACCTGGCATACAATCTTGACACTGCTTTCCTGTGGTGAGATTTTTACACTGTTCGCACACATTATTATTGATGCAAGTGCTATGTCCATTACACTGGCAAGCTAAAGGAAACAGTAAAAAGTATTACAAATATCTAACATAATATCAAGTATAATAGTTATCAAAACAAAGAATGTATCTTAAATAGCTGGACTGTAAAAATGTCCAAAAGGCATCTTCCAAGTTTTGCTTAAAAATTAATAACACATATAGCTCAGAGTTTTATGCAAGATAATGTGTACCATAAATCATGTGTTGATATTTTACCTTAACCTCTTTACAATGCTGTGGTTAAAGATGACCTGGAACTTAAAAGTTATAGCTAAAGAGGGAATAATCTTTAGCATAATCCTTAAAAATTCATAAGAATGGTATGTCTGCTAAGTTATATAAACACAAGGCTAAATATTATAACTTTGATAAAGAATGTTAAAATTAATCTTTTATATTAACATATAATAAAGAATCAATCAATATAGAAAATTGTGTGGCAACAGAGTCTTACTAGAATAAAGTAAACTAATAGTAAAATTATTAAAAACAGTACTTTTGAGCCAGGCACAGTGGCTCACTCCTGTAGTCCCAGCACTTTGGGAGGCAGAGGCGGACAGATCACTTGAGGTCAGGAGTTCGAGACCAGCATGGCCAACTTGGTGAAACTCCATCTCTACTAAAAATACAAAAAAATTGGCCAGGCATGGTGGTGCATGCCTGTAATCTTAGCTACTCGGAAGGCTGAGGCAGGAGAATCGTTTGAACCTGGGAGATGGAAGTTGCAGTGAGCCGAGATTGTGCCACTACACTCCAGCCTGGGCAACAGAGCAAGACTCCTTCTTTTTAAAAAAAAAAAAGTACTTTTGAATTAATTTGCATAAATGTGTATCTTCTTTAGGTAAGAAAAACTTCAAGGCTTAACTAAAAGTCTATTTAAGTTTGAACTACACAGAATGAAATATAAAGTATGATATTGTTTCTATATCTGTATAACTGAGACTTCTATGTTTTGATTTTAATATTACAGCAGACTACAAAAATTTCAGAATAAAGTTCATATATGAAAGCTCCTGCTTTTTGTGCCTATTTGGGACATAATATTAACTTAGTCTGGTAACTGCTTGGCCAAAAATCATCTTGTCAACCTCATGATTATTTTCACTTATTACAACTATGATAGCAACTAGCATTTAATAGAGCTCTCTCTCACTCCATGAGGAAAGCCAATATTCTGCTGATGCCAATTGTTTGTAGTTGGTATCTGTTCTGATTGGTAAGTGCACATAAGCATCAATTTTTAAACATTGTAAACACCATGACTTGGCCAGAAAGAGGACCAAATGGTACACATGAATTTTATTATTTAATCTTCAAAACAATGCTATGTGGAAGTTGCTGTGTTTAGGACTGATACTAAGATGGGGAAATCTAGGTTAAGCAACTACACAAAGTGACACAGCTAATCAATGACAGAAACAAATACATACATAGAACTCTGAATTTTAAAAAAAAAAAAGGATATTAATTAGCATGCAAAATGGCCTCTTATATTCAGAAAATCTGAAAGTGAGAGGAATTCCCAAGAGGCTAGCATAGGATCATCAAAATAAATTAGCATGTGAAGAAACAGACATACAAAAGAGTAAAACCAAATACTTCA